CGACCGTGGTAAGGAGCGACGTGATTTTCTTTTAGGTGATTACAACATCCTTGCAATTCTAGCTCAAGTAATTCGCTGGGACCTTCGATCAAGCAGTTTGTGGCTGGTGTACTGGACAAACAATTGAAAATACAACTTGGTTAAATCAGTTTGGCCTGATCAAAATACCAAGGCGAATCGGGAAATGCCATTAAAATTGGCCGAAAATTTTCTTCTTCCTCAATGAAAATGTTCAGACATTTCTCATGGTAAAAAACAGAAACTCTTACAGAGATTCTACGAATTAAACATCATCTCAAAATTCGCGGTGACCTCAAATTAGTGTAACACTGTGCGCGGAAATCACTTTCAGAGTATTTCCGCCTAATGCAAGCAAATAGTAAAGAATTTAACAAAAGAAAAAAAATTAAACAATAATTCTGGAACTTGACGATCAGTTCACGGGAAAATAGCCTATATACCTATAGTTATGTCAGAAACCTTTTCAATTTGTGGATTTGCTATGTGTTGGTCTGGCGGAAACGTTTCGACGAAGTCTGCGATAAATCTGCGAAATATGAATTTGGATATCGTATATATACACTCAGAAAAATTTTCTAAAGTATCGAGTTTTAACTTAGAGGTAAGACTTCAATCAGCGGTTGTTACACAGTCAAAATTTGTTGGCAGGATATTGACTCATTTCTTCCCCACTATTCTAAATAATTGTTGTAATTGCAATACTATTACCTTTGTACGATGTACGATTTCCAGCTTGAAAATGTGATTACTACTTTCGATGATGGTGTTTATACATCAGCCATAACCTGACCAAATCACTGAGCTGATCAGGTTTTATTTCCCGAGAATGGTCCTCCTCCTAGCGATTATAAGCAGTACCTAGCCGCTATGTATCTTTGAGAACTGAATGACCTTTGTTTTCCTGAGGGTGAGGGTGGAAGGTATGTGCATCCCAAGATATTCGAGACTCAACTTTGATTTCTGTTCCTTGGCAGACGCAGCCGGAGAATAAAGACACTCATTTAAACTACTTTCCCCGAATTATTGTGTCGAAATCGCTGTCTCTGATTTCCAAATGCAAGTTTCCTTTTTTTTTCCGATCGTGCTTCCTTGTGACTGCGGAAAGTCTGCAGTAATATGTCAGTATCTGAGCAACTGCGCCCCTGCCCCTCCCCTCCCCTAACCCAACAAAACAACAGTCAACTAATGACAAGATTAGGGGGGGAGGGGTAAGAGCGCAGTTGCCCCTGTAGTTACTGACAATGATCTTTTCCTTATGCCTGTGGATATTTCCGCGTGTAAAATTACACCATTAATTCGGAGAAGGGTAAACTGATGTCGCTGATGTCAGTTTTGTTACATAATCAGTTTCCTCGAGCGATAATGAACCGTCTACAGTTCTGGAACTATTCTTTTGGTTTGCCAACACGTGTACATCAGTGTCCGGCCCAAGGCAATTCTTTCAGCCATACTCCTTTCAATGTTTTTTTATCGTTTGTTTATCGTTCATGATCGAAGGAGTCTGATTGTTTTGCGACGTCTGATTTTTTGATGATAAATAGACTTTCAGGTTTCAAGATTCTCTTCAGTTTTTTTCTTATCCAAGCCAGTTTTTTGGCAGATTTGTGCCGAATGCTCCCTGATTTAATATGTTGATAAAACGCCGTGACGTTGCAAGGACAAGGACGATATCGATGTCACATTACAAAGGGAATTTCCCGACTAAGTTTCGTTTTATTTTTTAATTAACCTTTTAGTTCCCAAGATGTGATTGTTTTGAAATTCTCCCTTCTAACTGGTACACATTTCCTTGTAAAATAATTATGAGAATTTGGTGTTTATAGTTCATGATAAAAACGTCTTCCTGATAAGTTTGAGTATTCTAATTACCTGTTTGTTGGATAATGTATGGATATTATAGGGAGAAGTTACATGCTAATCATTCCTTGGAGTTGAATGGTGAAGGCTTACTCCTTAGAACGAGCGATGCACGGGGAACATGAAACATACTTTGTGTGAAAATAGTGTTTTCTACATGAGTTCTATCACAAATTCTGCTTTCTGATAGGCTTCGCCACTCGTCTGGCTCAGGCCTGGTTTGTTGTTAAGTTTTTAACAAAAGAGAGATTTATTCTATAACAATCAAATTGTTCGCTCGAGATTTGTGTACATGATGGTTGTTGATTCGGGTTTAATTCGCCACTATCAGCCATCACACGATGGAGATCACACGCTCCTTGAATAGTCAGGTCATGTATGACGGAAGTAATCAGGGCCCATTTGTATAAAGGACGGATAACGCTATCCAACAGATAAATCGCTATCCAGCGGATAAGTGATTGTAAAACATACTGCGTTATCCACCGGATAGAGTTTTATCCAGAGGATAGTATTATCCTACCTTCGAACAAGCGGGGCCAGATCGATTCGATGGGCTATTTTTTACTTTATTTTAACATTTTGCCGATCACAAGACTTGTACGGGCCTAGGCTTATACTGAGTTATATTCTTGAAAATAAAAAATCTTGGTTTCACAAAGATTGCAGAAAAGCAAAATATTCAGAGGGTCTCAAAGGGGTTTAACAGGTAGTTGTAAAACGGCAAACAAAATTAGCTGCTAGGCGTATAAATTGAGAAATTTTAACCGTTAGTCCTAAAGAAATTTAGCGGTGAAAAGTCTTCCTTTAATCTTAACGGAAAGTCATCACCCATTGAGACCCTGTATTTAAACAAACAACGCGAAATGAGTAAAGTTTAATACCAGGTTTGTGTTTTACTTTGGTTGAGCTGAAAATCCTCAAAGACCTTGTAGTCTTATAGAGAAACCAAGAGAACATCAACTGAGAACCTGGATCTTAAAATGCATCATTATTCAACTCAGCGATTCAGCCAGTGTAATTGTCATTGGGAGGGTTTTCGAACACAAATATTCCACAGCGATCCAAATGAATAGTTTTAGAGTAATACACAAGTATCATTTTGGTCATAGAATTTAAAGAAATCAATGCTATAGAATCGTGAGGGCTATTTTAATCGATAATTTTATCAAATCAGCCCAACTGTTATCGCGTCCATTTCTAGTGACATAACTTTCGGGGAAAAAAGGTTTTCTCGTCAGCTGGTAAGCTTATTCTACCAGTTAAGCTAATTTTAGTTACGTTTATTCCTTAACCATGTAATTCTGAGAAATTCTGCTGTTTTTTTAAATTAAAAAACATCGTATTATTTCTTTAGATTTGATCTTTTCCGCTTTACCAGCTTCATAATAACAAGGTTGTTCTATTTCCTGTTTGCCATTAATTTCTTTTCAGTTAGCCCTTTTTGCTCAGGTCCGACTACCATCAACGTAGAAAGATCACCAACGAATGTATATCTCGCAAACTCTCTGCTTTAAGAGCTTTGCTACAAAATTGTTGCATTTAAATAAAGCTTAAATAAAGGGTTAAAGCTGTTGATATCAATTACATACAGAGTAACAAATCCCATTTTTTTTCCCTCAATCATTTCATTTTCATTTTAAACGAGTATGTTAAAGTTACTTACCAGATTACGACTGGTTCTACCTTTCGTAAATATTGAGGCGGTTACATCCAAATTCAAGATGAATCACGTAAATATTCGACAGTTTTGAATCGCCCATATTCACTGCGGTCGGTAATGAGACACGCAAACTTTATTCGTATATGGGGTCACGAGTTTCGTACGCTGTCAATTACTGTAACAGCACGGGACCAGGACGGGTTGAAAATGATTATAAATAATCACGACTAAAAAGATGAGAGGATTCCTTAAACAGCGTCTATTAAGCGAATACAGGAGAAAGCCCAGTTTTGTCTTCACTTATAAATCATGAAACGAACTTGTATCAGCTGACGCAGCCGTTTGTGACTCAAAATTTGTAATCTCTTGTAAATGCTTGAAAAACTTTATAGTTTCCATGTCGCGTTAAAACTTTACAGTTTCCAAGTCGTGTTAGGTGTACGTTAAAAACAGTCGGAAATCATAAGGAAGCCCAAAATGTAATATTTTATATTTTATTTTTTACAACCAGAAGATCTCGTAAGCTGAAAAAATACGGGACGCGCAAATAAGAAATTTCTTGGTAACGGAAGGCGTAAGATAGCCGAGATAGCACGAGATAGCCGCGAACCACGGCACGAGCACGAGATAGCCGTGAACCACGACTATCTCGTGGTTCACTCGTAACAGACAGCTCGTGCAATCTCTTTCTTTTCTGACAGGATTTTCGCGGGATTTCTCGCTTGTCACGCGCGACCCAGGACTCATGAAGTCTGCTTCCACTGTATCAACCTTTCCATTCAAGAGATCTGAAGATCAATTCTTCAAAATGATGGCGCCGTATTTCTTTACTTCCTAGTCATGGTAATTTGGTGTATAACTTCTGAACTGATCTGTTTCCTCATATCCTGGAAGCGGAAGGTTTGTATATTATGCTGTAAGCCTCAAAAACACACTCTGATGATATTAACTCGATGTTGGTCTTTGATACTAAATTAAATTTTCTCAGCACATGAACAAATTAGAATCGTATCGGCCCTAAAATTACTGCAACAACTCTTTTGAGAAAAGAAAACTTTAACTTTTCCATTTCATTCTGTTCGACAAAAAAACGTGAAGTTTTCATATCAGTGAAATATTAATGGATAATTTTTAGATTTTTATAAGAGTCGGTTGATATCTGAATTTAGAACTGTTAAATGAATGAAAATTAATTTAACGTTCGATTTATAACACAGCTCCTTACCTTAAACGTGGAACGTTCACCTGAGGCTCTCAAAAAGCAACATTGGATTACAAGAGTTTTTTTTTTTTGAAAGCTTGAGTCAATTGTCGGTCAATTCAGAAACAGAGGGTTGAAATATTTTACTTTCGTGCAAGTTTATTTGTACTTTTATTGTTGACATTAGACAAAGAAGTTTGTTATTGACAAATTTGATTTCATCAATTTTCAGTCCAACATTGTTGTATCATTAACGTTTTCGAAACTTCTATTAGAACAGTTCTGCTCTTTTTTCGTAACGTCAGTCTGGAGGATTTTTTTACCCATAACACAGAAACGTATAGCAATGAATATTTATGCGAAAAGCTGACGAATATTTTAAAGCATTTGTCAATGTAACTTTGATTTTACATTGGACTAGACGGCTATCAGTTTCAATGTTTTTTTAAGTAGCAGAATGGATAGAGATCGGAAAGGAAACTCGACACTTGAAACCTTTGGATTTAGTTTCATTCCTTCTTTTCGCAGTCTGTCATCGCCATCTCTGCGACAGCGAAGATAATCTTTTACAACTTTAATAAGATCAGGTTATGGCGTTACTTTAAATCGAAACCTGTCTGAATTCCTCAAAGCGCCAGCTGGTTGATTAGCAACGGTTCCTGGTAATTTTACTGCGTAAGTTTTTTGCTTGCTTTACTTGCGCATAAAGATTGTGAATTGATAGTATCTTTCTAACAATGGAGTATGTCTCGGGCAGGAGAAACTTCAAGCTCTCAAAATGATTTTCAATGTTTCTGTCAGAATGACAGCGATTGTGTTGGTCTGCAGCGCTCAGTATCTTCTTGGTGAAAATAATGGGTGCCATTTTGCTTTTAACAGCAGGGAAAGGCTGGAAAGAGAAAAAAGATTGTACCAAGGGGGTGAGCGACGGTCAAAAGGAAGGAGAGAGGAGTGGATGGGGCAATAGAAATTACCCAGTCTCCTCGCCTTTCTCCTGTCTCTCCCACACCGTCCACTCTTACCATGGTCTAAAATCAAACACAGACTCTCGATAGCGTATACGCTATGAACGCACTAAGACAACGAAAAGTAATATCGAGAGCTGCGTATTATACTCGATTTCTATAAATAATCATTTGAAAATATTCACCACAATCTCAGACGTTGCTTTTCATAATAACATTTTTATTTCCCCCAAACTATTTCCTATTCGTGATGACTAAAAAAAATTACAACTATCAAAACTTGAGGCGATATGAGAATTCACTTTCATTTAAAAACTAATTAGGAGCTGCCTCTCAAATTACTCAGCATTGCACTTCAATGTTTAAAATGGTTATGAGCGAAATTATGTTTCCTTTCGCACTTCTAAACGGAAACGCACAGCGATTATGATGTGATGCAAGCAATTTTTGTTACAGCATAACACTCTTATAAGCAAATCATGAAAATGGTCGAGCGAAAACCGGAGCGAGGTATTGGGGAAAACTCTCTCCAGCCCTTCTCTCCATTTTCATGCTCGATCGAAGGCAATAGTAGTTCATTATAATTCTCATATTTTTAAGAAATTTCTTTTTCAAACAGCTTTACTAATTTTCCTTTGTTACTCGGGCCCGATGTAAGTGTTGGAATTCTCCCTAACTGCAATATGACAAGTTATGAAAAAAACTTTCACGATGTTAACAAAGTTATCAACTTAGGTAGTTATATTTTTCACGTATTCTCCTAACTAGGATTATAGCGAATGCATGAATAGAACACAAGTCAGTACGAAGAATTCTTTACAATGGGGCTCAATAGAATTGAGGTGTCGAATGTTGTTGATACGGAAGGTGAAGTATGGCTGGATGTTCCAAGTTCTGAGTTATGCGGGAGATGGAGGGATACGCCTCCTGACAGCGTATGCTTTCTGCCTTTTTGATCAAAGAACAGCATATCAGAATCATTCTGTATCTCTCAACGAAGGGTTTAGCTACCTTTAGTTTCGAAAGGGTAAATTCTTCTTGAAATCTTCCATTATTCTCGTTCAGACATGTCTGAGAAACTAATGTACAAATGAAAGAATAAAAAAATTTTCGATGACAGTAATCTGGAACGGCACATCATCGTTCTTTTCCTGCGTTTTGTCTAAAACAGAGTCGCAATTTTACCCGCATCTTGAAACAGGTCTACGGCACGACTCAAAGGGTCAGCGGCACATCCCCTTTATGATTTACAGGACCATCTCCCGCATACTGAACCTACGTAACTTCATCTTCTTACGGGCACGGAAAAGGAATGATAAAAAGGCCGTATTTAAAATGAACGACCTGGTCCAATATACAAAAATAGCGTATACGCGTCTAAGAATATCATGTTAAGTAAACTATATAGCATCTCTACGGAAATGTATATTAAAAAAACAAAACAAAAAAAACATGCTGATATATAAAATTATTGTTGGTAAACCATTAAAAACTGTCACCAATTGTCCATAGTTTGAAGAAATCTCGAGAAAAATCTACTTTTAAGGGCTAAGAGAACTTGTCTTCCAAAATGACGTTGAAAATAGTCAAACAAGCAAATAACGCGATACCATTAAGTTAACCGTTTTCGCTGAATGCAAAAGTGCCAAGCGTTATTTCCTTCAGTTTTCATGGTTTTAGGGGTTGGATGGCGTACGGCTGCACAGAAATATGCTTGATATTTCACGCGATTCCGTCAAACCCCCGGACGAATATTTTTGACGGCTACACTACACACCCTGAATAAAATATCCCTTTCAAACTTAAAATTGAGCTCTAAGAATCGTCATTGACGCCTTGAACCCTAAAATATGGGGTATATTTGTAATCCTAACTGTAAGTTTCCTTTTTCTTTCCTCAAACTGAGGGAACTCTCAAATTCTACATGGAAAACTCTCGTATGGTTATGTACAACGTACATGTATGAGCCTTAAGGGAGAAGCAGAGTTACACCTTGACCTCTCTCTCGGCCCAGGTCACCCGTTCACAACTGGCTGATCCCATCACAAGAAACAAACTATGATGAATCCCATCTAATTTCTTTTTTCACTTTCTCTTACTTTGATCCTAAACACTGGTTGGTTTCACTGAATTTAGTTGGAATCATTTTTCGTTTCCTATGATGCGATTGGTTAATTGTGTTTAAGTGGCTCGGTGACAGTAGTGACATTGTAAACGAATCAACAGCGAAAAATCTTACTGAGAAGATTGAAAACTAATATATTTTGTGATTATTTGATAACAAAGGCTTTAATGCTGGAAGTCAGAAGAACATGGTTCTACTGAAACAGCGAATGGAGGGAAAAAACATAGAGAGTTGTAAAATAAAACTAGCAACTACAAATAAAAAAGTTGAAATAAGCATTGAATTATTTGTTCCGTTAGCGAAACATGCTCATTGGGCTTAATTACACAATAATCCATAAAAGCTATTGATGATTCAATTCTACGGTGCAGTTGTGTCACGAATGTCGACTTAGCTGTGTTTTTTACTGCACTTCCATATAACAATGCATCTAATGGAAGAGAGGAAAAAAAATGTGAGTTTATGATGACACGTTTTACCCACTCCACCCTTATTCCAAATTTTGGAGGAGAGGCAACCTAGCAATTCCTAACCAGGTTCCTGAGGTACATATAAGCAAGAAGATCGAGACATTGGGGACCCTGGGAAAGGTGAGGTGTTCTCCTTTCAATTTTTGTTATTTACTCAGTTCCTTCTGGACGGGAAGGGTCTTTTTGTCGTCTAATTTTATCGTTGATACTGAGTAGAGCATTAAAGCCTCAATAGATGTTGAGAAAATTAGCTTAGAAAAATCAAATAGGGCGACTTACACAATTTTGTCCTTTTTGGACCGGTGAATACTTACCACTAAAAAGAGCAATCCAAGAAACAGGGCCTTATCTTCTGCAGACATAGCCAACATGACTGAAATCAGAAGAGAGAAATGTGGAATGATGTTAAATTTAATTGTCAGGAAGTGTTGGGCCAATAGATCAACACTGTAAATGTCATGGGTGGGTGTGGTGTCATTTTATCAGCATGAAACCCTTAAACTCCCAGAAGTGGTTGACATGAAACTTCTTCCTATTATATCCATATGTTGTCCAGTAAACAGGTATTGAGAATACTCAAACTTGTCAAGTACAAGTTGTTATCTTGATTTAACACTGAATTCTTGTGTTTAAGTTACAAAGAGATTTGTAGCAACAAGAGGAGAGAATTAACAATCAGATCTTGGGAGTTAAAACACTAAGATTAGAATTAAGATGTTATTGGGTACAATTTTCCTGACATTTTACCAGTACATGAGAGGTTAAATGCACACTTGTTGGTAAAGAGGGTATTGGTTCTTCTTAAGCTGATACAGCTAAAATAAGTACAAGAACTCTATACAGTACAGTACATTTCAAACTTTCATTTGGTAACAAAAATTCCACTTAAAAATGCTCTTTGTTCTGACAAAATGATGCAAAATGCAGGTGGGAATCTTCCCACCAACTTTTTGCAGAAAAAGTTGGATAAACTTTGAAAGAAAAATAAATAAAATTTGGCAATTTTGGTTTGCATTACTTTAGCACAATACTGTAAGTGGCTTACATGAGATGCTGACAAAGTCTGGTTCTGCGGTGATACAACAGCTGCAGATACCTCCACAGCAACCTCGCCAGTTGTGTGTGATCTCTCCAATTTGTTGGTGTTCTGATTCTGTTTTGGGGCCTTCTCTCAAAATCTAACAGTTGAATAATAAATAGATCCCTTATTACATGTACTTTTTGATTCAGTAAGTTCAAACAAACTCACAAAACAAATTAAAGCTGTTAAAAAAATTGTCCCTTTTGAACCATTTGACCCAAAAGAGTGACTACATATAGCTTTTAATTTCTCTTATAATCACATGACCATCACAAGAACAAACTGAGGAAATTATCACCAACTAAAGAAGCTCTTGATTATGGAACATTTTCTCCTTGTTAGCACCTTAGGAAATGTATAGAGAACAGTTTGGAGAGTATGCATACTGATGTTAGGGTGTCAAGGGTTAAATGAAAAAAATACTTTTTGTTGAAACCCACTGTTTGCACATACACTCTGCTTTATAATATAGCATGGATAGTTTTTAAAAGAAACTGCATCGTGGCTAAATATTTAACAGGAATTATTTTAAAAACAAACAAACAAACAAACAAACAAAAACAAAGGAAGGAAGATTATGAATTGCACCTTAAAAACAGCAACGTTATCTCTTTTGCACTCAAAAGGGTAGCATGTAGGCCCTTGCACCTTGTAAATGAGATCTCCTTCATAGTTGTAAACATCAAAATAATATGAGGGTCCCAAACAGCTGCCAAGAGTTTCTCTGGACCTGTAAATGAGAGAAAGATAAACTCAAACAATTGGTATCTTGATATTGGAATCAGTGAATTTTTCTTGCAATAAAATTGTTATTAATCAAAACTATATCAAATTCTTGAACACGATGGGTTATCACCATCGCGATTTGAGCACCAATAGGACAGTGTAGGCATCATGCTTGTAATTGGACAGTGTAATAAGACAGTTAACATGTCATGCTTGTGTAAGTGGACAGAATGTGTCATGTGAGCGCACTGTTGTCCTGTATTTCACTGAGTTATCTGTTTTTTTAAATGAAAACCCATAATGGATGTGTAAATTCTTCTCAAATTTTGTCAAAGTTTTGATTAATTGGTAACAGTTCTTTGTGTTGTCCAATTTTGTCTAATTGTATTTGTGATTAACAAATTGGACTCCTGCTTCAAGGTTGTTGGATTTTGTTTATCACTTTTATGATTACAGACGGAATTGGACTCCACTTGCTCCTATTACCATTAAGAATTTCCTTCTATGTGATTTGCTAATTTTGTTTTAAGTAATGCTGTTAACACAGGAAACTTACGCGTGTTTGATGTGTCCTAGAACCTCCCCAGTAGGCATACGTACAGTCATCGAAGGGGCTACCCAAGGGCAGAAGGCAGGACTGTTGAGGCTAAATGGATGCTCAAGTTCCATTATCCAGCTGCTTGTAGCAGTGTTGATGACTTTCATGTAGTAAGGTCTAGAATTGCCAAGGAATGCTTGAATCCAGGGATTGAGTGTTTTGACTGTGAAAGGTTAAAAGTAACCATAAAGTAAGGCTCTGTCACAAATAATGATTACCTAATACTGAAATCTAGCTCAATTTTACACCTCTTGCTATCTAGTATTCGGTGACAGACAGTGAACGAAATGAGAAGCAGCACAGCATGCTCTTGTAAACAAAAAATAGAACACGAGCCTTTCCTGTTGTCAAGGTTTTTGAAATCTCTAACATTAGTATGCAGGTTCTTCATACTTTTTAATATACATTTCTTATGGAACTTTTGAGGATAATTTTTGTAACAATCAAGAACTTCCTAAGTTCACAATTGTTTTGTTTATTCTCATGACCTCAATGTCTGCTTCATGGGTGATACTGTTGGGAGAAAGATTACTCGCTTATTACTTACTGGGGTTAAGGATTTGATGGTTGATTTTGTCTTTCTTCTTATCAGCTCTAATGCAAAAGAAATCTGGGGATCTTAATCTAAATGTGAAGTAGCTTGAACTTGATTGAATTCTTCGAAGGAGATGAAAGTGTTCTCCAAGAACAGAAAAATTTTACTACTTTTTTCATTCTGAGATTCCAAAGTGAAATCAAATTTTTTTTTAATTGCCCTCAGAAATCCCATATATTGACTTTGTATTTTGGTACATCACACTGCTTATGAACAAGAATGCTAACTACTAAGCTACAGTTGAAAATAGATTAGAAAATATGCCAAGAAAACAACTGCCAGAAGCAATTCTTCTGTCAGTTTAAGTTGATGTAAGAGGAGAGAGGAAGCTACCAGTGAGATGATGGATACATTCATCTCTCTATTTACAGTTCACAGGCACAGTTGATCTTACAAGAAAATTTGGTTTCATCAACTGAGTTGAGGATATGAATTGAATGATATAAATTTGATAAAACCAAATTACTCATTAAATTACAAATTAATTAGTTCACCCCCTCCCCCCCTCCCAATGCAATGCAGTAGTCTCTTTAGAAACTTAACCCCATTTATACACTAAACTTACTTTCTTTGACATCAAACAGCTGATTTCCAGCTCCGTCTTTGATGCTAAAGTCCATACGACCCCACCAGGCTGAAATTGAAAAAAGTAAATAGTGAGTAAGGTTAAAATGCATAGTTTTAAAGATGCACCTCATGAAACAGTTGTGGGGTAGAGTTAGGATAATCCATCTTCATTTCTGTGAGGAAATCAATGGAGACCACTCAAAAACCAAACACAAAATTTATCCTACAGATATTTAGCTTACTATGGGAATGAAAAGTTGCTGTCATATTTCCACAGTTAAGTCTGTGCCTTACAGCAAATTATTTATAAGGTTTTAAGTAATAATGAATGCTTAGTAAATACACTTTGATTGAATGGCATAGAACTTTTGTTATGTGATGGGCTATGTATTAGTTCTTTCACTTAAAAAGTGAGGAATTGAATATTTCAATTGTATGAAGAGAAAGTTATACTTGTCTCTTGATCTGTTTTTTGTGTTTTGTATTTGGTTTTCAATATTAGACCCAATGACAGTTGAAAAGGAAAAAACAAATAGAGTGAAAGGTTAAAAAAACCACCTTTGATGTTTGGTTGATTATGTGGCTTTAGGAAACTTATCACAATTAAGATGTGAATATTTGTGTCAGTTCTTAAAGCTATAAGACAGACCCCTCTGTCTTATAGCTGTCTTATTCTGTGAATTGTACATAATGTTTTATTTTGTATAAGACATGTATTCTGACCCAAAATGTTAATAACAAGTTTTCCACATACTCGTAGCCGATGATAAGTGACATGTCAGGGAATTTGACATCTGTCATGTCGATGAAGATAAGAAGAAAATTACCCATTTGAACACTCTTAACTCATGCAACCAATATGTCTGAAATATGTCCTGGAGAAATACGAGTTTTGTAACAATATAGTTTCCCCGAGGACAGCTGATATCAGAATGTACAATTTAAAACAGCAACAACAAAAACAGCAACAGTGTAAACTGTGTTTTGACGTCCAGACAGTACTTTTCCATTATTAAACTTCACGCGAGTTGGAAACCTAATTTATATATATTAGCATATGCAGACGGCCTTGAATGAGACAGCTTTTTTCATATGAAAAGTATTGTAAGAGGCTGGAAAACTAAACGACTAAGGTAAAATAGCGAAAGCTAAACAAAAGTCTTGTAAACTTCCTGAATTCTATCCAAGCGCAAACAGTTAACTCATAATCCAAACGCTCGTTTATTTGCAGCACCGTAAATTTCAAACAGGAATATACAAAAGTAACAGATAGAATAAGCTATATTTGCCTCTGGATTAAAACATATATTCTGATCTCTTAACTTAAGTGGAGTTGAGATTTGTAATGTTCAACTCACGCGAGTCCCATGAAAACAAATATGTTAAAATTTTGAAAATTGCATTCGCTCGAAATCAGCATTTTTAATTTGAAGCAAATTAATCGACACTTTGTTAGAAAGAATTCGTATTTCGGGGTGTACTGTTACCGTCTTGTCACGGATGCGTACCTAACGTTTTATATCTCGTATTTACCTCTGATTTACGAAATCCTTGAAGATCATTAGAAAAAAAAGAGTTGTGTTCGATAAATACATTATGTGATTCTTGAAACTATGACAAATTGATTTGCAACAGTACGGCGTCACTTGTGAGGTCTCCATTTATTAAAGGAATGTTTCCGTTTGAAATAAACTTATCGAGTCGGCGCGACTAATTTTCTCGTGGTCCGTTTTGCTTGCAAACTATGTTAAGCCCTTTTGGAAGTGAAAATGCTTGCGTGGGTGCCTTTCCGCAACATTTCACTTTTAAAAGGCGTGATTCATGTCCGCTCAGATCCCAGATAAGAAATGCTTTGCATGAATGTTCATTCTTGGGCGACTGGTTCGTGTAGATCATCCAAAATTGTTCGAACTTTCGTATCACGCCAGCGCGTCGTACAAAATCAGATTAAATTGCTAGCAGGACAAGGACTTATTTGATTTTCTGTCGTCCGAGCTAATTTTAGCTCTGATTTGTATTCTTTACGTCGTTAGATAGCACAACATCGAGCGTTAACCGCCGTGAAACTCGACATTAACGCCCAATGTACTCACTGAAACCTAAACAACAACTGTCTGTCGTAAGCTAACCTGCTGAGGGAACTTCTCGGTGATCAGGGAAGATTTTTATAATTCAGTCGCTTTTATTGGTTTGTAGATTCTTTGATTGAAACCACGGCCTCTCGGTGTGCAGCATGTTAAAAGACAGAGCACGAGGCGTGAAACAATTAAACTGTTTTTTACCTTCATCGTCGGCCACATTTTGATGGGCAACTAACTTGCTGACATTCTCAAACACCTCCAAGCCCATCGGAATTGGCTGCCCGTTGTCAGCTCCCTTTTTCTGAGGAGAAAAAACGTCTCCATCGTCTCCTTCGTCATAGCCACCGATGTACTGAACTGAGCCGGAATACTCTTTTTGGTAGCTAAGTCCTGGTTGATGAATCACGGTTGTGCTCGCCATATTTCGTGCAGTCCGATTCTAAGCTTTCTCACGCGCTCCTCCCGAGCAAGGTTCAAGATCAGGAACTTACGGCACCCAGCTACCTGTCACACAGGGAAGGAGCTGCAGGGAAAGTTGGATCTACGGCCTTCTAAAAACGACGCTTCTCCGACTGGTCTCGTTACCAAATGTGCATTTCAAATAAGTTTATTCTTTTTTAAGAATTCAAAAGCAAACCAGTAATTTGCAAGTCAATTTTTTTGTCACGCTGCACGCCGATGGGTATCGTGTTGCGTAATGCAAGCATCACGGAAGTCTCTTGCCGAATTTGTGAATGGCTCAGATGCTTCGGATCGTTTCCATTTATCTCATATTTTGGTGGTTAAGAGTTTCAGATAATCGGCTATATTTTTAGCTATGTGGAGGAGGAAGAAAAATTCGCTCTGCTAGGAGACAACGGCCACTTAGCACCGGTCATGCGAAACAAAGAATGAAACTTAAATTACCTTGCAAGCCGCACGAGTTAAGCTGCTGTTGATTTCGTGAAAATCACACCGTCCGTCAACTTCTCATGGGGAAAAAAATTTAGTTCGTTTACAAAAGAGTTGACCTCACGACCTGTAAATTTTATCCCGATAAGCAGACGTCTGTTTTCTGATCAGACGATGGGATACCCCTCGCTCTTAAATAACGACCTTAAGATTTTTGTCTTGATGAATATTCGTAGAGGAGATCGTGGTTTGATCAATCCTCGATCGTGTGTGCAATGTAACACTTTCTTTGTACTTAATTTGGTACATTTCCCATTTTTTATATTGATTTTTTACAGGGACACGGCTGCGATATTTAATGAGGGTGGCTGTGATGTGTGCGTGTGTGTGTGTGTGTGGGTGGGGGTGGGGGTGGGGGGGCTTCATGATCATTCGCGTTGATTCATAGATCCTGGTGGAAAATCGAGTAAAACTACTTTATTGGGAAACAAATGAAGCACCGTGAGAGAGGTCGACTCGATTTAATCCTGATTATTGTGAATTTATTTAAAAGAAATAGTTAATAGACAAATAAAGACAAACGACAGACCATGGATAAGATTCTGATAAATTCTCCTTGTTCCAGCCATGTCTGCGCACTAAACCAGTTCGTAAAGACTTTGAAGTGGTAAATTTCGATCGATGCTTCCATCTGGTGTTGCAAGATGTAAACAACCGAGAGAATATAATCTGTAATCTCTTGGCAACCAGTAGATTATGAGCACGAGATTTCTGTTACGTGGTAATCACGCATAGAGCTCGAGAGCGTTGTTATAGGCAGGAGCCCATTATGGGCTCCTGTTATAAGTTATTACTTCCATTTTGAAAATCACTGGTGATCCTTGCAATCTGATTGACTCTCAGCAGTGCGATTTATTCCCGGATCGCACTATTTTTTGCACAAAATCGCATCTCTTTTCCGGCCAACGAGAAGGCAACACTGAAGTCATGCGCATGACTTAAGACCGAATTGTACCCCCAGACAGTTAAAAAAACCATTGTAATCGTCTCAGTATGGAAGCTTAATATGACTTAATTTTTGTTCCTTTTTTTTTTTTTCTTTTTTTAATAAAACCGCATTACGTCAGGCTACTCAATTTGATTTATTTACTACCTTACACAGAATAGATGATAAGTAGCATAGCCAATAAGATTAACCAGGATTGTGGGAAGCTTCTGTTGGTTAACCCAACTCAAAATTATTGGATTGTTATTAGAGGTAAAAAAAAAGAAAACAAAAACAAACAAAGAAATCTGTAGGATTCCCCACCAGAGGCCACGCCCTCCGTTGAGATTGTGCCAAGGTGTCACTTAATGTCGAATAAGTGACAGTTATCGTCTGTAGATGAAAGAATCGAAATATTTCCATCTACGCTAGCGTTTTCGTATTGCTCCTAAATTTTGTTATATTCTGTCTATCGTCGACACAAAATCACTTGAAAGCGTGTTTAAAAGCGACAGTACGTGATGTACGATCGGTCCCTTGCGGTTGTTCTCGGACATGTTTATCGTGCTGGCACAAATGCAACAATTCTGTGCTCGGGAAGTGACCTAAGGAAGGCGAAGTCACGTATCATCATAGGGTCTTTTTTCTCCAAGAGGAAATCGAACCCCAGACCTTCTGAGTTAAGGTCTGATGCTCTGTAGCTAAGCTATCCGGAACTCCTAAGTTAACAAGGCCAAAGTTGACGGCGAGCTCGCCATCATGCTCTGTGCTCATTTCACAAGGAGGATTCACTTAGTCCTCAAAACAAAAGCACAATTATGTAAGGGGGGGGGGGTTTGTTTTGGTTTCTACGTGAAGCCTGAACAAACAGCACTTAAACATGTAGCCTCTTCTCGTCCCAATGCCTTTTAACCACAACAAAACTAAAGAGATTAGAGACACCAGTGTCTCCTAGCCACAGTATTTATACGATTGGAAAGGGGAGGTTTGCATGTTCATCTAGGCTAGGGAATACTTCCAGCAAGTGAAGAACCATGTCGTCAATAATAATACAACATTTTATTACCAGCTTTGTAATACAAGACTATCCGAGCCCAAGTATATTTCATTTTCGACTCATAAGGCAAACTAAAGCTGGCAGTTCTGCTTCGTACCAACTTCCAATCATCAAGAAAGGAAGATGCGAGAAAGAGAATCACCACAGGCGTGAAAATAAACTATAAAGATAAATTGAAAACGCGACGCGGAAAAAAAAAAACTTATTTGTCTTTTCTCGTGTGAATAAATTTTTCCGCAAAGATGTTGATTCATAAGGCAGATTTTTTAAAAAAGAAGTTTAAAGTTAGGATTCCAGCCTGTGATGGCCTCTGATCTCGACATATAAAGTACAGAACAGATATATGAGGAGCTTTTAAGAATTAAAAGCACTTAGAGACTGTTCCCAAGAACCATACACTGGTACTGCTTGAAGTAAAGCAGTCCACCTCTATCTAAACACAATAAAACATTTGTTGGCGACTTTCTTAACAACCTATCTTGGAAACACAAAGTCACTGTACAAAAATATGCATGCGCAACATTGAAAATACAAAAATATTGTACAAAAATCCCCACTCTAATGTAAATAATTTACAAAGGAATGCATATTAAAAAATGACTAGAAAAATTTGATTACATCCCAATGGGTCTAGTGAATCTTAACTGTCAAAATTTGTTTAAAAATAGTAAATTGCTAAGAACTGGGTTGATATGCATGGATGAACAACACCCAGAGAGGAAACTACTCAAGACTGATCTCAAGTATAGATTCTAAAATACTATTTCAGTATTCTGCATATTCGATAAAAGGATGAATTAAAATGAATTAAACCCCCTTGACGGATACAATATCAAGCTGGCTTCCTCCAGAATCTCCGATACGCTTCGATGGTAACAGTCTAACAACTCTCATTCGTTGTGTTCGTTGTGATGATCCCCTCTCGTCAGACGTAAGAGTGAGGAGGGGGAGAGGGGAGGAGGGGGAGGGGGGAAGAAGCCACTGGAAATCTGGAACTACATCTCAGTTTGTCTTTCATTTTTTAATAAAGGGGAACTACTATCTACACTATTAAAATATATTGAAGGTTTCCTCACTGAAAACTCATCTAGTTTTACCTTTTCTTGATTACTCTTAGAAATAATTCTACTCAAAATTCCATTTAAACAGTACGTCTAATAAACAGAAACACTGATTAGTACTTCAACAAGCTCTTGTTGCTACGAAGACTGTATGTTGATATTAATACTGAGTTTAACCTAGACAAGTAACAAAAATAATTATTCTATGTAGAGGTTGTATTTTTGTTATAAAGAACAGTAATGTTTTCAATTAATTAATTCTAGGCTTTAATTTAAAGATTTACGTTAAAAATACTAGTACTAGAATCTGAGATAAAACATGAGATTCGGAAGAAGGTCATCCACTTTGTTCACAGAATGCAGCACTAATGCATTAAGTATACAGTCAAAATAAACAACCATAAAAATAGAAAAAGAAGTCTCTTACAAAAAGCACGTAGAAAATGAGTAGCCCTAATTAAACTTCACACTGAAGTGTGTCGGCTGGTCCTTTGTAGTAAAAAAGTCTGATTAATGCAAATTAGAATGTTCGCTTAGGCAAAAGAAGTCTATAAAAATAATTGGAATATCAAATTCATTGTCTGTTTGACTTTTTTTTTTGATAACTTGCCACTAGGAATCTGTAGAACGCATCACTGTGTCGTTACCATTAAACTAGGATATGATTGTAAAAGGAAAAGTGAACACATACTAAGAGGAAGAAAGATGGAAAAAAGCTTGGATCATTGAAATAATTAAGAGCATTTAAACCTAAAATGAAGGCCTGCCTCCTCTCAGAAGGAAGATGATGTAGCTACGTGTGATTGTCAAAAAAGATAACTTGAATGAATATCTATTAAAGAAAACTTTTAACACTGGAAGCATACGTCGTCAACTTAATCATTTCAGAATCAAGTGCAGGTTAACTAACAGCAGTAGTGAGTCAAAACTGTGGAATTACACAGCACCCTAAAAATGATTCTGCTAATTTTGATCTGCCTGCAAAATAAGCTTAACCACAAACAGTGTATGCTGTAACCCACGCTGAGAACCGAAGCTGTCCACTAAATACTGCATAATTCCAAGTTTAGGTGACAAACATAAAAATTCAACAATTTCGTGAAGTGAAAACACCGATGTTAAAATGATCTAAACTCTATGATAAATGGCTACCGTGTACGGTGAATGTTAGCATGTTATTACGGTTAATAAATTAAGATTACTTGATAATCAACACATCTGCCCCTTGATAGAGGCAACAATTGTGTCACAAAAGTGGCAAAATTAATGCTGATCAACACTGCACCAAGTAAAGTTTCAATCTTCAGCATTATAATGTTGCGGCTTGTTCCACAGGTCTCTCTCTACAAGAAGCCTGCTGGGAAATACAGTGATCTTTGCTTTTCGTCAGCACAATTTTGTACGGTTTAAAGCTTTAATTCCTGGGATCTCACAATTAACTACCCTCTACCTTCAATACATTTCTCTAAGTTGTACATGTAGTTCATACATTGGTCTCAATTCAATATTTTAGGACGTTGGTTTGCCAATTATGATCAGGCTACTCTCGGTAGATGTGAAAGCTGACAGTACTTAGAAAAAAACTTGACCAGGACAACCATAACCACAAAACCACTCAAACAATTACTAGAATTCTTGAAAAATTGCACTACACCACCCAATGTTCAATAACGGACAGTTAAAATTAGTTAGTTCATTTGAATGTTAAGTGCATTATTTTTTCCAGTGCCTCCTCAGTAGTTAGAACCTAGACTGATTCTTAAGGAAAACCCTGAGAGTTGGACTTTTTTCCCTTTGGAGTTCACTTGTTTTTTTGAAAGGCAGATGCACGATAGCAAACTAATCAATTCAACAGAGCTACTGAAACTTTACTGATGCAGTGGATCGCATTTAAAATATACATAACAACTGTTACCAGTTAACCCAAGGTTATTCCTTCCAGTTTGGATATCTTACGGTTTTACTTGCAACCCAAAATGGTTGGTCATGTGCTTCTTGGTTAGTATTACAGTGCACGGTGCAAGTGAAAGTGCAGCACAACAAAGCCTATTATATGTCTATCTACCTGACCTTGGTCAATTCTTCCCCAAGTGTCAATCACGAAAGTTAAAGATTCAGTTCTGAAAAATAACAGAACAGTGTTTTACCTGGTACCTTCCTTTTGTAGTGTGTCATTTGCCACAAGCAAAAAAAAAAGTGAACCGCTGATCTTTGATGCTAGAACGCCAAACAGCTGTAGGACTACAGATGGTTATTTTTATTAATTCTAATCTTGGACAACTCTAACAAGAAGAATCGAGGGCATGATAAAATACATGTATTACTTCAGAGAGAAACTCATAAGCCTTGCAGTGAGTGTGGCAAGTGCATAATTACAAGTAAGATTAATACAACAAGTATCTATTAATAATCAATTTTTTTCCATACCAATTTTCATATCAGGAAGGCTCCAAAATAACTTGCTGACTCATACTTTGCTATCGCCTGGGTGTTATCTTCTGACACTCCAACCATGATGTGGTCGCCATTTTGCAACTCAAACACTCCACCTTGATAGCTGCTGTACAGGTAAACTTTTGACTTTTTGGCGCGACACCGTGATGTCACACTACGCATAATGACCTCTGCGTTGCCAGTTCTATTTAAATGTACATAATGAATCAGGTGTGGTCTGTCATCTTCTACTTGAAAGTACAATTGGCTGTACACATAGTATCTTCCAGACATAGAGATCACCAGTTCTCCATCTTGGTATTGCATTCCACCTATTTTGTGCGCATGACCTTGATCGTCTTCCCAGTTTCTTATAATTCCTGGAACAAACAAGTTTTATGAATTCTAGGGTACATGCAACGAACCTATAGCAAAATCAATGACATGCAGTTTTGCTGTAATCTGCACAGAGTTTCAACTTTTATCATCTTTGCAACTAATTGTCGTTTTATAACCTTATGGCAAACTTTTCAATACCTATTATATAGATAGCAATGGCTGTTACATTAAGTGTACAATACATAAAGCAAGCCAGTTTTATTAAAAAAACTAATACTGCTGCATCCTGTGAACTCTGCGAGACATTTCTTGGAATTTTCAATCAATCTGATTTAACGTGCCAGTTATCTGACACAGACAAACCTATAACTCTATAAATCAAATAATTTATCTTTCCAACTACTTTGTAGCAATTTTAAGTCTATAAATTTACACATTTTTCAAATACTTTTTATCCACCCATGGTATCTGTAAAGACTGTGTACACCACATATCTCAACCTCTGCTAACCAAAAATGCTCCAAAAAAGCTTGCTTCCTCAACCAGAAATGCTCTATTACTTTTGTCTCCCAGTTTCAGAGTAATGATATCATCAGCATCAAGAGGTGAAAGAAAGCTGAGAGAAATGGTATTGAAAGCACCACTGCCAGAATTTACACCCTTAACCTTTTCAATATTGTTCACACAGACATAATAAGTCACGCTCTTATTAGAAGGAGTTGTGTAATACAACTGGCTATATATTAAATACACTCCTGATGTCGGGACAGTGAGTTCTCCATGTCGATATCGCATCCCCCCTTGCCTCAGTGTAAGATTCCACCCGGTTAAGAAGCCTGTTAAAAAGAGAGCACAGAAACCAAAGTGTAAACACTTTGGCAAGGCCCCCTTGCACCAAACTGTTAATGGATGGTAAAAGACTGCTTGAATTGTATCTAAGTGCATCAGCAGCTTAGTACAAAAACAAATCATATTTTAAACCATGTGCAGTTTAGATAGTTGACTGGAAATTTTGACAGGAAGGGTTTTCAATTTGCATGTATATCTTTTCTTCAGCCAGTTTAATCAGGAAATTGAAAAACACTTAAAGTTTCATATATTTCCAGACATAAGCCAAATCACAGCTCTACTTCCACAGGAAATGCAGCTCCTAACTAGGAAAAATCACACTAATAACATTTTTGACAGTTCTAGCCCAGTTTCTGTTTCAATGCATTGTTTGTTCAAATATTCATATGAGTCTTGGTGTAGAGTGATGAACTATTGCACACCAATCTTTACAATTAAGGTTATGGTAGATTCTTGTGAGTCAGGAAAATCCTGGACATTATAAAATTTCAATTTCTTGACCGTCTTAAATTTGTGGGCATTTGAAAAACTGGAAATTCTAGACATGCCAAAATTGCCTAAGATGGTTTGTGACTTATAGCAAATCTGCTCCAGATTTGTGTGATGATTGGCTAACAGTGAGAACATATGAAAAATCATAATTTTACCATTAGGGATGTTGGTTATAATTTTAGTTATCAATCTTGTAATAGCTTAGCTGCCACTGAGTCATAAACATAACTGGAGATAGACATCTTACAATCTCCTGAAATGTTGGGAAAATCTGTCTGGGATGTTCAGGATAAAGTGAATATGTTAGTAGTCTAGGATTTTGTTGGCTTGTCAAAACCAGCCGTTGTGAAAAATATACATACAGGAAAAGTTTATTTACCTGCTCTTGGAGAATTCTGGGTGTGTCTCGTGTAGCCTGTCAAGTGTGCTGATGGCCTCTGCGATGACTGTTGACAAAAATCATCAGTTTTCAGTCAACAGTACATGTACATTGTAACAAGCCAGATTAAAACGGCTTCGAAATTAATGATTAATTCAAGGGGTGTTTTTAAAACAGATTCTTGGATGCAAGTAAGTGGGTTGTAATAGAGTGCCACTGCAGAAATGAAATTATCTCATCAACTCAGTTGAGCAGTAGATAAAATCTCACAAAGCTAGCTATAAGCATGCCAAGAGAGCTTGCAGCTCCAGTTCTGTAGATTTTCTGACTCCATAATGGACACCACAGAGAGGGTTTCACCAAGTGAATAACATAGTTACTTCTGGGGAGTATCCCTCCTTAAGACGAAGGAGGAAAGTAGGCAATAAATTCCCATTTACTCATAATAAAAAAAATTACTGTCTAGTTAGACTCATCCAAGATTGCTGAGCAAACAGCTGACCCACCTCTTACTGAATATACAACAGAATATGTGGCTTATCCATTGACAAAGGGTAATATGCTGACTTTTTTACTTAAATGCAAAAATCAGCAGTGCATGTTACCCCTTCCATGTGGGAAAACCACCAGAAATAACAAAAGTAGAAAAAACAAGGGTGTCAATAGACTAATCAATACCAGGATATTAAGTACTTAACCAACCTCTAATGAGCCTGTGCTGCCTTTTTCTCCCCTTGGACCAGGGTCCCCTTTCTCTCCTGGAGGTCCACGTTCACCCCTTTTACCTGTTGGCCCTCTTTTTCCTGCTGGCCCTTGGTCTCCTGCACACACACACACACATACAAAAAAAAAACAGTAACAATGAGGCAAGATGGTGGCAAAGAATCACCAGTATTAATTCAAGGATACAGTAACTCATACAATGATTCAGAATAAAAGTGGAGCTAACCTTTGGGTTAGGGGGAAGGGGGGTGAATTCACCTCTCCATTTGTCAGAGACATGCAGTTTTTAACTTGAATAACCTAGACCAATAAAGCACTTGCCTGACCAGAAAACTAACAATTCATCATTCTCTCCCACCTCTTTGAGCCTCAATGGAAAGTCTCAAACGGTGTCTTAAGTAAAGAACTTTTGTGTAAAAGCTTCAGTCTGTTTTCCTAGGACCCATACAGGGTAGCCTTAACTTCCTATGCAAGACCCACTGTGTTTAATGGAACAATGCTCCTACATTTCTTTCTTCATATTCCATATTCAGGTACCTGTGTCTCCTTTGTCTCCCTTATCCCCAGGAACACCAACACCTGTTGGACCTGGTTCTCCTTTCTGACCTTTGGGGCCTAAAAGATGCCAGATTTTAGTTGTATATGAGAGTACTATTATGACTCTGGCTAGGCACTACTTTTACACTAACAAACTTCACTCTCGCTTTTGATTCCTGAACTACTTTAAAATAATTTTTATGTGATTATTTTTCTCCTGGACCTATTTGAAAACCATGTATGTAAGAGTTTTCCGATAAAGAAAAAAAGGAATGGATATTTTGTATCGAGTACAAGACACAATAGAATTCCTGACCAATCAGAGAGTGTAAAACTCAATAACCACATGAATAATTGACATTATTTGGTGTTATTCTGTACCTGGACCTCCTGCAAGGCCTGGGACGCCTGGAATTCCTGAAAATAAGGGAACAAAAATGTTTGACTTGTTTAACAAGTGTTTAATGACAGGTAAACAGTCAATCTTTACAAGTTTGAAATGCTGATGTTTCCAGAGCTGACCATTCCAAGGAACAAATTCATGTGATTAGGTTTTGTGTATGTGTTTATGCTAAGCCCTGAAATTTGGTTCTTTAATATCAAAAATTGAAAATATAAAGTTCATTGTTGAGTCTGAAAAACTCTTTTTGTCTCCCTACAATGCAATGGAATTGCATGCCCTTCTTGCACATGCAATGCTGTAATGCACATGGGCAGTAGTGTTGATGTATGATAAAATGCAATATTAAAACACAACCATCTCTGACACTCACCATGACCTCCCTGGGGTCCCTCTGCACCCTTAGGTCCTGGAGGTCCTGGATCCCCTTGGGGACCCTGCTCTCCTGGTGGGCCTCTCATACCTGGCATAATGAAGAAATCACTTTCATTGTCACCTTTATTAGAGGGTAGGTGCCTTAGGGGTAACATGAGAGGCTGACAACAATTTTCTAAGACGCAATGAGGTCAACAGGGTAATTGAGTCACAGCTTACCACCAGGTATCTGTACACAAAACACTGACAAACCAGTGTATGGAATGAATACTAAACCAAACATGGGTGGAGTGGGGAAGATTGGAAGGGAGGCAAATAGAGGAAATAAAGCAGGAAAACAAACTGAGCAAAGGCAAATGATATT